TTTAAAAAGCTAAAAGGGAAAAGGATATAATAACTTCTGTATGTATCTCATCATTCCAGTTTCTGAAAACAGCCAGCTTTCCTCCCCCTACCCCACCTTTCTTTTGAGATTCTCCAAAATGTTGCAAGGCCGGAATCACAACTGTCAGGTGCCTTTCTTTGGAAATATTTGCCCTCTCTTCTGTGAAGAGAATGGTACTTAGGACTCTACTACTAGTGCTTTGTCAGTACCGGTCTAAATACCCACTCTGATAGTGTACATTATCCTTAAGGTTTTTAATCCCACCTGGAAATTGTGATAGAACTGTCACAAAATAAACCCAGGGCATTACATGTTGACAGATAAGTCTGTGGTGTGCATTATACTGATTTCATTTTATGAATTTATTCTGAGAGAATGTGACCCAAAATGGCTGAGCATGCTTGTTTTTAAATTAAAATATTTTTAAATCAATAAATGAATAAATGGGGCTCACTGATCTGTGGCTTCCATCACCTAGAGACTGCTGAGAATTGTTAAACAAAAGAAAATGGGACAAAGGACTGGTATGGTTGGGGTTGTAAGACTTCACTTAGTGGAGTGAAGCATTGGGTGAATCATGCCTCATACAAGAAGCCAAACCAGGAACAGATATGTTCTTTTGTAAACAATTCCAGAATCTTTCAAGGACCATGTTTACAAAAACATATTAAAATAAAGTTACAAATCATTCCAAATAGAAGATAGACTAGATCTGAGATGGACTGTGGTTACTATAAAAAATAAGGTTTAAATGAACAGTTGCTGAGTTCACAGCCCCAAATAATATAAATATCTGAGAATGAATTAGATTGTCTAGCTTTTCAGGCAGAATACATTATTTCCTAGTGGGTAAGATTTGCTGAATATCTTTGGTACTTTGTGCAACTAAAATTCCAAGTTTCCAAAAACTGGAAATAACATGGATAGCGTTTAGCACACTAGGCTAAGCAACACAAATGTGCTGCAGTAAAAAATGGAAAAATGCAAATAATAAAAAAATGCCCTTGCTTTGATCCTTCTCCCAAGGAAGAGGCTACCTTCTGCATGTGCCCATAATTTACATAATTTGTTTATTCAGTGCTACTTTTTGAATGTTTACAACATACTGAACCATAAAAATCAAGACTAAGTTTGTCTTAGTAGGTAAAAATGACTAGGTTGTGGTTCAAACATGTTATATAAACCCCATGCTATGAATATTTCCTAATAGGTATACACTGGAAGAATGAACGCAGGAGTTAATCCTGATACAGCCTTATATTAATACTAGTGCATTTTAGTCTACATAAAGAGATACATTAGCTTTATTGCCTCTCTGCTCTGTCCCAGCTAGCCCTTTGATCTCTGCAGGAATTAAACTTTTCTACATTTAAAATGTGCCTCAAACTTCAATTTACAAAGGAGAATAATGTTCTAACACAGTTAATTGTCAACTCGCAAAGCATCCCTGTCCTGCTCTCGAGTTGCCATAGGCAAGGTTGATGGGAAAGCAAACTTCACAGCTGCATCAAGGAGCTGGTATCTCAGTCAAAATAAGACACATTCCAACCCATATGCTGAGGTGGTCTCCACAAAAACCCACAGTGGCCGGAAGGAGTGACTTTTACAACCCGCGAAACAGTGATGGGATTAAAAAAAATTACTACCGGTTCTGTGGGCGTGGCTTGGTGGGCGTGGCAGGGGAAGGATACTG